ATAAATGAGGCCGGCAGCGATGAGGGCGATTTGCTTCCAGACGCGCCCACATGGCAAAAACATGCCATTGACATAATCGGGGCGAAGAAGCAGGAGCTGACGAGCCTCCATGATTTGGGTTGCTTCCGCAGACTCCGGCGGAGCTTGGCGAATAACATCGTGGACACCAGGTGGGTGTTAAAGTGGAAGTACAAAAAGAACAAGCACTTCATCAAGGCCCGACTCACGATGCGTGGGTTCAACGACCACGACGAAAACTTGGCCACTTTCGCCGGCACGGCAACTCGATGGGGCCAGCGCATTGTGAACGCCATCGCAGCGCAGCAGGACGATTGGGCACTGTTCAACTTCGACGTCAGCGCCGATTTCGCGAAGGGCCTGACTTTCCAAGAGCTTTCTGACTTGACAGGCGAACCTCTTCGTGTTGTGCAGTTCGAATTGCATCTTGATGATATCAAGTTGATGAGAGAGACTCCTGGCTACAAGGGTTTCAATCCCAGCACAGAAGCCATCCATATGGACAAGGCAGTGTATGGCCTGAGGGACGCACCACGAGCATGGCGCAAGAAATTGCAAATTGCACTTGATCCTCGACAGCTCCGGCCTGAAAGCCTTGTTCGCAGACCCATAACTGTACGTACTCCACGACACGAATGTCAAGTTGAACATGATTGTCAGTGCGCGCGTCGACGATTTGAAGGGTGGAGCCCCCGAAACAGTAGCTATGGAGCTCCTCAAGCACTTGGAGAAACACGTGTGGAGTGGACCAACTTTACACACGTTGGCATCGAGCATGTGACCAGAGCAGACGGCATTTACACGCACCAAGAAAAGCACGTGGCTTCCGTCAGGGAGATCGACAAGAAGTTCTACGCTGATTTGCAAGACGAGCAGAACGTCAGCGTTGAGGCGAAGAGCCACCACTCCACACTCCTTGGTGGCGTTGCCTGGCTCTGCCTCACAATGCCGGCCATAGCGGCGTACGTGCAGGCATTTCAGCGACGCGGAGCCGAACCGAGAGCACAGGACCTGAAGCGCATGAACCTTGTTTTGCGTTGGGTCCGCCGGCACAAGGTCGGCATCATGTTCAGGAAGCTGCCAGGGCGCCTCCGACTTGTTGGGGTCACAGATGCAGCATTCAAGGCGATTCCCGACGAGTCGTCTGGACTTGCACTCCGCGGCTGCGTCATCGTCCTCAACACAGATTGCGACACGACGCCGGCATCTCCAGATGGGGCTTGCAACATCTTGGAGTTCAAGTGCCGACGCCAACGCCGAGTAGTTCGTTCGACCTTCAGTGGCGAGCTGAATGGGTTGGTTGACGCCCTGGAGATCCTCCTGGTTATCCAGATATGTTTCCACCAGATCTACCACGGCTGCGCGGCCACAGCCAAGAGCCTGGCGGACGACCTGGACAACGGACGACTCCAACCTCCAGTTGACGCAGCAGTTGACGCCAGGAGCGTGTTCGATTGCTTGGCCGCCACCGACGTGGGCGAGCTCGTTGAGGGCAGTCTGAAGCTGCATGTGCTCTCTCTCTCTCTCTCTCTCTCTCTCTCTCAGGGAGCGCCTGCAGTCTGGCACCCTGCGGCGCCTCTTCTGGACGGACACACGGTGATATGTTGGCGGATAGCCTCACCAAAGGGTCAGTTCCCCGTGACCAGCTGATTGCTGTCAGCAACAGAGGCGAATACCGCACAGCGCACGCCACGGCCAGCACGACCGTGTCGAACGGCCGCAAGCAGACCACTGGCAGCACGGTAGTCCGAAACACCTGAGGCACTTGAAAAGTTGTCTATGCACCACCCCTGGCAATTGCAAAGTTGCCTCACAGAGAGCCGCACTTGCGTCAGGGGAGCTCCGGCGAGTACGGCGTCCCTGCAGTGAAGACGCGTAGGGTTTCGGGCATAGAAATGTGCCTGTAGGAAAGACCTGTCTAGGTCACCCCCTGCATGGGAACGTTTAGGGTCAGACACGAAGCGGTGTCTACTGACGGGTGTAATTCGTAGAAACTGACAGTCGCGATATAGGTTGTCTGTGTAAAGCAGGCAGGCAACCGGCAGTCATGAAATAGACTGCCTCGCCTTTCTCTCTCTTCCTCGTCTTCCCCTCCCCTCTGCCTGTCGTGAGTGAGATGTCACGAAGCAGGCTATAGTGATGAGGTACCATGTGATAGGTATCATATGTGCGCAATAATCTCCATAGCAGCAGTGTGGGTGTTATCCTAGGTAACAACCGGAGAACAGCTAGGCGGGGCAAGAGATAGCCTGCCACGAGCAGGAGCGTGGGCATTGAAAAATGCTCGCGTTCCCCACAAGGCATCGCGGTATAGATTTCGTTTCACCGATAAGGTTTTCGACCGGTCCTCTTTCGCAGTTTTCCGGAGCGCGGAAGCCAGGCGCCAAGCAGGAGGAGAGTAGTTTGGGAGTTCTGCAGCCCCGACCCCTCATTACAGTGCTCGGCACCCCCCTCCCGAGCGCCGCCGCCTTTTCGACCTCGAGTGCAAACCGCTCTTCTGGAGTGTAGCAAAGGCATCCGCCCCACTGCAAATACAATTTCTTATCCCATTTACTCTCACATCTTACTTCCCCACTATTGTTCTACATCCCCTTCTTCTTCACGATCTTCCTCGAGATCTTCTCCCAGAAGCGCCCGCTGGCGCTTCCCCTAGGGGGATTAAGGTGGAAGAGAGCAGGGGAAGGCGAAGGAGATGTTCCCCATGTGGGCCGAGGGAGTCGTAGCAGAGACAGACAGGCAATCTTGTGGCCTGCGGCCCTGCCCGCCGCCGTGCTGGGGTTGTGGTTGAAAGTCCTCTTGGATGTTTTCGGGCCTGTTGGGGCCTGTGTTGGGCTCCTTTGGGGTCTCTTGGGGGCCTCTTCGGGCTCCTTGAGGGGCACTTGGGGCCTTCGGGGGCTTTTTGGGGCGGGAAGCTCGAAATGTCGGTTCGTGGTCCTCTTCTTGGGCCTGCTTGGGGCCCTGTTGGCGCGTCTCGGCGCTTGTTTGGGCTCCGGGACGCCCCGAGGCGGATGCGTATCTGACCCCCCCCCGGACCCCCCCCCTTCGACGGGGGAGGGGAAGGGGCTTCCCTTCGACTGAAGTACGACGTTGCTGCGGTTTTCTCTCGCTGGCAGGCTTGAAGAGGAGGGTGCAGGGAAGGCGAACGACGGAGACGCAGGGAAAGAGGACAACGGACGGATGCGTCGACTGAGCGCACGCCGACAGGGGGCCCACACGCCGACAGGGTCGGCGGATTTGGGTTATTTGAGTTCCCGCACGCTTTTGGACCAACGCTCTCAACAGTTTAGTAGCGTATATGTTCTATGCGTTTGCTTAGCGGGGCGTTATAGCATTATCTGGGTTACGTGTGATTTCGCCATATATATACATGTAGATGTATATGTCATACTGGATGCCAGTTGCGGTATTATGCTTGTGTCCCTCCTCGCACATGCGTTTTTTCCCCAACCATCCTGTGGTGTTGGGTACTCGTTTTGAAGAGACAACGCCCCGCGTCACCTCACCTCACCTCCCGCTGCCCCCTCCCCCTCCTCCCTCCTCCGACGCCCCATTTGGGCACATCCCTCACATGGTTCGTGGCCCCATAGGGAGTTCCACCGAAGGCTTCAGCGGGAGCGTCCGCACGGCACCGCCGCCTCGCTTCGGCATACCACTCACGCGTTTCATGGCCCCCATAGGGAGCTCCACCGAAGGCCCCAGTGGGGGCGTCCGCATGGCACCGCCGTTTCATTTCGGCACACCCCTCGCACGTTTCGTGGCCCCACAGGGTGCTCCACCAAAGGCCCCAGTGGGAAAGTTCGCATGGCACCGCCGCCCCAGTTCGGCTCACCCCTTACACGTTTCGTGGCCCCACAGGGAGCTCCACTGAAGGCCCCAATGGCTACGTTCGCATGAGTCCTCCCGACTCATGTCGGCACACCCTTCACACGTTTCGTGACAGAAGGCTATACAGCGTGCGCTACTCGGAGTTTGCGCGCCCCCCTCCTGCGTCTCGCAGCTGCACATGGTTGGATCCTTCGCCAGGCTAATTTTCAATGCTGCCATTGATGACATGTGAAGCCTTCGTTCCAGGAAGCCCCATCAAAACTCACCTGAATGTTTCACCCTCAGTGAATACGTTATGAACGTAGCCGGCCAAGGGGCTCGCTTTTGCCTTCCGCTCACTGTTCTGGGGTTGCCCTCTGCAAGGCTGGAGGCTTACGAACTGCAGGGGCTCGGTGCGTACTTCGAACGGTTGCTCGTGGTCGATAGGAGTTCTGGAGTCTACTTAAGCATCATTTGCCGCCCGCCCGTTCCGCTGATGAACAACCAAGTTTCCTGCCCATGTCGTGGTCGACTTTCTGTGTCTGAAAACGACCTTTCAAATCTCTTGTGACAGCCATCAAATTCCCGCAGGTCGCGTTTGAGTCTCGGATTCCTTTCGGCGGTCATGCGGATTTCGTGGCATTCCCTTGCTCTCTTTCTCTTTGGCTGGGCAGAAACAGCAGGACGATTCCAGCGTGCGGGCCTCGTCGGGGCTGGAGACCAGTCCATCATGCGACCACGTAAGCGCCCATGGACGCAAAGACGCACGAACCAAGCACGCCAACAAGCATCCAAGGCAATCGGCAAGGCATGTAGGCACGCACTAAATTTGCAAACCGTTCGTGTATAGAGACACGTGACTGCGCACGCATGCACGTTATTCAGCACGACGCGCAAGAATTTTGCTAGGCAAGGCTGCACGGCTAGGGATGCAACTGATAAAGCAACTACACACGCAAGTGAACATGCGAGCAATGCACAGCACAGCCGTATGGCTATTCGGAGCTACCAGGTGCGGCCACGGAGCAGCAAGGCAGCGTGGCTGGTCGGGAGTCGCCAGGTGTGTTGAGTGGAGGGGGAGGGGACGGCCATTCGTTGGGCTCGGAATCCGCGCGCGACTGCGCTTCAAGCGCGGTCTACCTGTCCGGCCCCCTCCTCTGTCCCGCTGGCGGCGACAGGACCCCGCGTCCGACTCCCCAGACATCTTCAGCAGCCCCTACAAGGGCATGGGCGGCGAGAGCGGTGGCGTCATTGGGATGCTAGAGGTGATCGAGTCGGACTTTGCGCGCCTTGAGGCAGAGACCACTGCGGCGGAGGCGACGTCCCAGAAGGAGTATGACGAGTTCATGACCGATTCGAAGGTGGACAAGGCCAGCAAAGTGACAGACAGCGAGCACAAGACGGCCAAGAGGCAGGACCAGGAGCAGGCTCTGACGGTCAAGAGGTCCGACCTCGAGGGCACACAGAAGGAGTTGGACGCTGCAATGGCGTACTTCGACAAGCTGAAGCCTTCCTGCGTGGACTCTGGCGTGAGCTACGAGCAGCGCGTGTCGCGCCGGAAGGATCGCCATGAACCAAGGGGTCTTGATGGAAAATGTGTTCTGAGGCGCTTCGATGCTTTTCCCAACCATCCTGTGGTGTTGGGTACTCGTTTTGAAGAGACGGTTCCCGCGTTCACTCCTCCGCCTCTTCTGGTCTCCTCCTTCTCCCCCTCCTCCTCTCTCCTCCCGTCACCCCCCTCACTTTGCCACACCCCTCACACGTTGGCCCCACAGGGAGCCCCACCGAAGGCCCAAATGCCAGCGTTCGCATGCGGTCACCGCACCCATTTTGGCGCATTCCTCACAAGCTTCGTGGCCCCAAAGGGAGCCCCACCGAAGGTCCAAATGCCAGCGTTCGCATGCGGCCACCGCACCCATTTTGGCACACCTCTCACACGTTACGTGGCCCCAAAGGGAGCCCCACCGAAGGTCCAAATGCCAGCGTTCGCATGCGGTCACCGCCCCCATTTTGGCACACACCCACACCCACACCCACACGCACACGAACACGCACACGCACACGCACACGCACACGCACCACGCACGCACGCACGCACGCACGCACACCTACACACCCACACACCCACACACACACACACCCACACCCACACACCGACACGCACACGCACACGCTCACGCACACGCACACGCACACGCACCACGCACCACGCACACGCACTACGCACTACGCACACGCACACGCACCAGCACCACGCACCACGCACCACGCACCACGCACCACGCACCACGCACCACGCACCACGCACCACGCAACACGCAACACGCAATACGCACCACGCAACACGCAACACGCAACACGCACCACGCAACACGCAACACGCAATACGCACCACGCAACACGCAACACGCAACACGCACCACGCAACACGCAACACGCAACATGCACCACGCAACACGCAACACGCAACACGCAACGCGCAACGCGCACCGCGCAACGCGCAGCACGCAACACGCAACACGCAACTCGCAAGGCGCAACGCGCAACGCGCAACGCGCAACACGCAACACGCAACACGCAACACGCAACACACAACACACATACAGTACACATACGCATACACATACCCACACACACATACACACATACACACATACACAAATACCCAAATACACAAACACACACACATACACATACACATACACATACACATGCACATGCACATGCACATGAACATACACATACACATACACATACACATACACATACACATACACATACACATACACATACACACGTACACACACCACACACGCACCTCATACGCACCTCATACGTTACGTGGCCCCATAGGGGGGCCCCACCGAAGGCCCAAATGTCAGCGTTCGCATGTGGTCACCGCACCCATTTCGGCACACCCCTCTCACGTTTCGTGGCCCCAAAAGGAGCCCCACCGAAGGCCCAAATGTCAGCATTCGCTTGCGGTCACCGCACGCATTTTGGAGCACACACGTTGCGTGGCCTCAAAAGGAGCCCCACCGAAGGCCCAAATGTCAGCGTTCGCATGTGGTCACCGCACCCATTTTGGCGCAGGGGGCTCCACCGAAGGCCCCCGTGGGCGCGTTCGCATGCGGTTCCACCGGCATTTCGGCACACCCCTCGAACGTTTCGTGGCCCCATAGGAAGCCCCACCGAAGGCCCCAGCGGCTGCGCTCGCACGCGGGAGCTCCACTGAATGAAATAATCACAACTCCGGTATTCACAATTGTATGTGGTTGGGTCCTTCGCCAGGATAATTTTTGGTCCCGCGCCCCCGGACCGTCAACAGTGGACTCGGGATGAGAGGCGACTATAGCAAGCACAGAGGTGTTCAGGACCTGTTTTTATCTGGATCTACTCGGCGAATGGCAAAAGGAGGAGATCGAATCCTTACAAGAAGCGTTGCGTATTCTCAACGGGGAGGACATCGCAGCGTGACGCCTGTGCGGAAACCGCTCGCATGCGACAGATGCTCTGAAAGTGAAGCGCCAGGAAATAGCATTGAGAGGTCATCATCGTGCTATTCTCGCCATCGAGGCTCGTATTATCATGAGCTCTGACAGCGTCTTTGGACGCCAGTTGCTACCTTTCACGCCTCACTTGGCCTTCGGGTTATCCCGCCACCTTGTCTGGGTCGTGGGTCAGAGGCCTCCTGGATGCTTCGTACATGTATATATATATATATATATGTACATATGGTATATTGGGGTGCCTCGTAGGGCCTCTGTGCAGACCTACAAGGCGGTTCTTGGGAGGCATGGTGGGCGCATCTGTAAGGGCCATCTTCGGGCCTCTTGAGGGCTCTTGAGGGCCTCTTGGGGGCCTTCGGCGGACAGCTTGGGAGCCTTCTTGGGTTCTAGAGAGGAGGGGGCGAGGCCGCTGGGGCACCTTCGAGATGTCCAGATGCCGCTTGTGCCCCTCGTGGCGGCTCGGGGGCCAACTTTGGGCGACCCTGGGGGCCTCTATGGCCGTCTAGGGCGCGCTGAAGACCGAAAAGGCGACTACGCCAAAACCAACCATCTTATCTTTTTTCCTTTCAGAGGGCTTGAGCAATGGTGATCACGCTCATACCGTAACGTAACATATGTTGTTCAATGATTTGGGTTGCTCTGGATTGCCTCATGTTATACAAGACGGCCGAAGAGGCCCCCAAGGAAACCATCTTAGGGCATGCTGGGATTTTTGGTTCCGAACCACGCTCCCTGGGCTTCTGGAGCAGTCATGCAGGGATCTCCAGAAGCGCCTTGGAGCGCCTAGGAACCCAGGGTCTCGGGCCCTTTGAAGTTATACCTGCCCAACCCAACATAGGGTGGCTAAGGTCAGGGCCCCGCGGACACTCCACTCAGTCTCTACGGCACGATGTCGGATTCTGGGTGGTTTTGGACCATCATTACCGTGAGCCATCGCCGTCATCGAATTATGGTTGAAGCGTTCTCCTGTCACCACGGCCGATGGATGTGTCATTGCTCGCACTCGAGCAACCAGTGCCCGCAGCCATTTTTCGCTAGGACCGCTAGAACTGGGGACCCATAGCATGTCTATGCCCGCGAGCTCCTCCCTCCCCCTTCTTCTCCGCCCTCTTCTTCGCCACCTCTCCTCGCCCCCTGCCACCCCGCACTCCCGTTACCGCGCCCAGGCGGGTGACGGGGAGGGGCAAGTTGTGGGCATGATGCATGGTTTGGGGCACCCAGGAGCTTTCCTTGCCCGTGCACACGTAGGCTCATCCCGCCCGCAATGCAGCGCTCCACGTGCGCCTCCCTTGTGGTCGCCGCGCTCGCTCTGCGCGGCGCTGTGGGCTACCCGGTCCTCTGGGCTGCCATTGGGGCTGCACCAGGGTGAGGGGCTCTGGAGTGCGACGCGGATGGAGAACGCAGGGCAGCATCAGCAGGAGGCGGAGGAGGAGGAGGAGGAGGAGGAGGAGGAGGAGGAGGAGGAGGAGGAGTGCGCAGACATTTGTTGTTGTGTTTTGGCGTGGTTATCTGGTGAGGTTCATAGTGTGGTGCTTTATTTTACTTGTTTTGGATTGTTTCTTTTTTGGGGATTTGGAGGCTTGGACTTGTTTTGCAGGTTTTGGGTTTTGCTGTTGGAACTTCTGTCCAGGACCACTTCTTCCTCCCGCGTCGTGCTTTTGACGATCCTGGGGCCCTGTGGGCGCCCCGGGAGGCCGAGCATGTGCCACAAGACTCCGTCGCATTTTTGTTTGTTTTTGTTCACAGCGGGGGGGGGGTCAGCCTACAGTCGGCCCGCATAGGAAGGATGGGCAACCTTCCCAAGGGTAACGCGGGATGACGATCAATAAAAAAAAATGGGAGGGAACGCTTAAAAACATCGTTTTCTGCTATTTCTGCACAATTTTCTGACTGGAGGAGAACGATAAAAAATAGTTTTCCAGCCCGCGGCCGGTTTTTTTCTAATCGTCATCCCGGGTGCCGCCGCGTGAACACGACCCCCGGTCATTTATTAATCGTCATCTTCCATTACCCTTGCATCCTTGCCTCCTCGGCCCATCCTTGGCCACACTCGTTGGCCGCGCCCCGCTCGAAAAGCTCCGAACTGGCCTTCCAATGCCCTTGTTTCCTTATCGCGCATCCTTGCTCTACAGGCTGACTGTATCTGGGCCTGCCAGATGGGTTCAGAGCAGTTTGTCGGACGAGGCTAGGACTAGGATGAATCCGTCCTTGAGCGTTTCGGAACGTCCTCAGAGCGTTCCGACACGCTCTGAGAAGGGCGCGGCGCCTGAGGCAACCTCCAGAGCCGCCGGGTCTTAGAGAGGCGTTCGATGTATCCTCACCCGAATGTATCCTCGTCCTGGCATGGTCTTACCAGATCCTGGGCATCGCTCGGACGTGTGCACTTTCTCTAGGAAAGGACCATCGATGAGCATCCCGGATCATCTGGCTCACCACCCACCAAACCACCCCAACCCAACCCGAAGGCCTCAAACTGACCTCCATTTCCAGTGGGGGGGGGATCGGGGAACATCGAGAAGACACATATGGAACCCGTACCCCCCCCAACCCGAAATTCGGGTCCTCGGGTTGGGTTGAGGTGGTCTGGCAGGTAGTCACTGGCAATCAAAGCACGCGCGAAATCGACAAACGCATGGGGAATGGACGTCCGATGGACGGCGAGGAATACAGTCGGGGCCCTGAAGAAGGAACCCTTCTGGTTGGGGAGGGGCTCCGCGTTCCTTAGGTGTTTCACAGCTTGCCTCAGGTTTTCCTTATGTTTTCGATAGGAAATCGAAGTTTAACTTGTGGAAAAAAGGAGCCTCGTTCCTCATTTAGGGTTCCTTAGGTCACCGCCCCGACTGTAGTTCGGGTGGGCGGGCCGCTCCGACTCCCAGGCGGCGCGGCGCCCTTTTGCGCGTCGAGGGCCCGCTGTCGGCGGCGCGGGCCCCTTCCAACCCCCGGCTCGGTCGAGCCCGCGGGCTCGTTGGGCTCACCGGAGGCAGAGAGCGCTCCCGCGTCCACCCGGGCGTCGGGGAGCGCTCCTCCTCCACCTCCTCCTCCCCTTCCCCCCCCCCTCCTCCCCCCACTCCTCCTCCTCCTCCTCCTCCTCCTCCTCCTCCTCCTCCTCCTCCTCCAAGCCCACAGGCCCGCTCTGTGATGGTCTGCACGGCATGTTCCTAGCGCATTTCTGGCTGAGGCCGTCTTGATTTGAGGTATGGGATGTGTGGTCTCAGAGCGCTGCTTCTGTTAGTAGGCCAGGTTAGATGTTTGAAACATTTCAGGATCAAATCTTTCATTCCATTCTAGATCATGCATTGTTTTGCCGATCAGCTCGGGCCCCTGCACCCCCTCTCCCCCCCTATGGACTAGATCTTGGCTGTTTTTGGCGTTTGTTTCGAGCAGGTGGAGTCTCCCCCATGGGACGCACTATTGCAGACATTCGCACGTTACAGTCGAGGCTGATATGCAGGTCGACCCTGCCAAATCAAGGGTACCCTTGTGTCCTGTGCCTCGCGACCCGTGCTTTACATGCATATGGCAATGTGGCCCTCGGAGGAGTCGTGCCCTTTCGCGTGTCCTCTCCAGTCCACCCCGACTGAAATTGAGCAGAGGTCCAGAGCCAGACCCCTCCCCCCTCCTCCCCCTCCTCCTCCTCCTCCTCCGGAGCTTCGTGCCCTCCTCCTCCTCCTCCTCCTCCTCCTCCTCCTCCTCCTCCTCCTCCTCCTCCGTCCTCCTCTCCTCCTCCTCCTCCTCCTCCTCCTCTCCTCCTTCTCCGTCCCTCCTCTCCTCCTCCTCCTCCTCCTCCTCCTCCCTCCTCCTCCTCCTCCTCCTCCTCCTCCTCCTCCCTCCTCCGTCCTCCTCCTCCTCCTCCTCCTCCTCCTCCTCCTCCTCCTCCTCCTCCTCCTCCTCCTCCTCCTCCTCCCCCTCCTCTCCCCCCCATCCCTTCCCCCCAGTGCCGAAACGCCGAATAGGAAAACGGTTTCCGCGTCGTTGATGCTGCGGCTGGCGTTCTCGGGGAGCGCGCCGCTGCGGCGCTGCTCTCGGCCGGGCCGGGCCTGGGGCCCCGGATGGGGCCCGCCGGGCTCCCGCTCCCCGCGCGTGCCCCCTCCCCCCCGAGCGCTGCCGCCGTCGAGCGCCTGCTTCCCGCGCGCAGGCGGTGTCTCTGTCGGGGCAGGTTTTCGTTCAGGAGGGGAACATCGGGCCGAACGAAGGGGGGGGACAGGGAAAGGGGGGGGTTCGAAATCTGCTGCATGCAGCCGGTTTCGGCCCCGCCGCCGGGCCCGTTCCTCGATACATGGGCGCTTCCCGGCTCCGGGAGGCGCCGGGAAAATCAGCTACGTGAGCTGATTCTCCCCCCCCCTTTGCTATCCCCCCCTTTCGCCCGGCACGAGAACAGCACACACAGACACAATTTAGCGTCGTCTCCCAGAAACATGTGGGAAAACA